CGGTGCGGGGTGGAGTCGGGGACTGGGCCTGGGATCCCGGTGCGGGGAGGACTCGGGGCGGGAAGCTGCGGCGGAACTACCAGGAGCTGGAAGAGCAGCTGTTGAATAGACGGTGCCGTGGTAACGAAACTGGAAAAAAACTCGGCAGGTCAGCCTTTTCGGAAAGAGAAACAGAATTAACATTTGTTGAGAAGCGTGATGGGTTAGAAATATCAGAGCATTGGGAGCAGTGACAGAAAAAGAGAGCAGCAAATAACGTCAAATGGCGAAGTCTGAATGATTAAGGGGAAGAAATGATGTGGAGGTGCCGGTGTTAAACAAGGTCAGAAGTCACACGACAGCAGATTATAGTCCAATAGGTTTATTTGAAAACACAAGCTTTCGAAGCCTTGCTCCTTCTTCAGGTATTAAGGAAGAAAGGTAGAGAGGAGCAGCCTTCCAATTATATCAGTTTCAGATCATAACCATTGATCCCATTTCAAGAGCAGAGGAACAGGGGTAGACCATTCGGCTCAGAGATCCTGCCCTCCCAGGCCAGATGGACAGACTGTTAAATCCCCTCATTCTCAAATTTTCCCCCTTTAGACTCCCCACCCAAGGGAAAGGTTTCACTGCCATCTATCTTAACTATTGCTTTAAATATTTTGTAGGTTTCAATGAAATCTGTATTCATTCTTCAATACTGTAGAAAGTACAGGCCCACTTTGCTCAATCTCTGTTCATTGGCAAGTTCTGCCATCCTGAGAAAATTCTGGTGACTTTTCATTACACTCTCTCTGTAGCAAAAACATCTTTTCTAACTCCAGGTGTGATCTAAGGCCTGAGACAGTTGTAGTGAGACTTTGTGACTTATGTACACAAATTTACATCTGATCCATACAACTCCTATTTGTCTTGCACCTTCGTTGATCCTCTAATCTCTCCTTCATCTACAGTATCACACGTGCACATGTTTCCTCACGACCTTTGCCTTCTCTAAACTTGCTTGAAAATTGTGACATCTCTAACTTTTGACAGTTTTGACGAGAGGCCGTTTATCTGAAAGCATTGTCTCTGGAGAAACAGGGTTACTGTCTGACCTGCTGAATATATCTGACGTTTTAAATTCTTATTTTAAATTGCAGGTAGCCACTATAATTGCCTTTTTTTAAGTGCCAACCATGACTAAAAGCTCAGAGTCTGAACGATGGTGTATTGCAGTCCCGCAGGACTGAATTCAACAAAATATCTAGGGTGATACTCTTGAAAAGTACTGAGGGAGTCAGTAATGTTATCTTTCAAATAAGATGTTAAATTAAGGCTCTGACTGCTCTCAACAAGGTAAAAGACCACATGCCATTGTAGCAGAGAAGGTTAGTTATTCCTAGCTAGAATGAAAATAATTGGATAATTTCCTTGTTAGCCATGCTTGGAGAATGAAATTGTGAGTGCATGGGATTTAATAATTTACTCGTGTTTGATGTAATTATTCTCCACTCAGTCTGTTTTGTTGATTAAATTACCCAGCTTTCATAAAGTGCAGTTTTGGTGATGGTATTTGTTTTTTGCAGAAAATCTTCCCATCTTGACTCGTGGATTATTTGCTATTATGCGCTATCAAGTTGCAGTTCCAGCTCATTACTTGACAGTGCATTGGCAATTAGTTATCTGAATATGGACCGTAAACATCATGTGAAATTGGATATTTTGAGAAAAGCTCTGTGCTTTTCTGGAGTTTAGAGTCATCTGAGAATGGTGTGACATCCTGCCTCTAAAGCAGTAGATTGGCCAGCTAAGATAAGGGAACAATTCATGCTCAGCTTCTATCAAATAGAATCTAAAATTCAGAGATTCTGGGGCATGTACGAAAATGATTGGCTCCAAAGATGTTAGAAAATAGAAATGTTTCAAATGAAATTCAAGTATTTAAAATGAAGATTGGGTGAGAAGGATGTGATGTGAGCAATTAAAAATATGCACAAAGCGCTTGCTGCTAATGTAGTACCACAAATGGAATTTCACTCTGAAATGTTTTGTAATGTAAAGAATACATGCACCACTCAATTGCGATTGAACAATAGCTTGTGAAGAATCAATTCAATCTGCTGTCTGTGTTGAGCTGGTTTACCTCAGTTGCTGCCATAGCATAGGTACTCTTATTGTCTTCAATCTTAAAAGTAGCAGAAATCACACTTGGTGTTCTCCCAAATTCAGCACTCATGGGCATATTTGGATGCCAAGTGCCTCCATTGTCAAGTAACTTATTGTCATGTGTAATGTCATCTAAAAGAACTATTCGGGTTGTCAGACTTGGATGAGTCAGCACTTTCAGGAAGGCAAACGTATAGTGCATTTCTAAGTTTGCGATAAATTGGAATGACAGACAAAGTAGACACTCTAGATTCTTAGTTTTCCAGCTGTAAGCAATTGATATTTATATATTTATATTTACAGGTTCTGATTTCCATCACTTCAGAATTATAAGACATTTCTTAAAATGGAAAATTACCAAAAAACAAACATCACAGAACTCCCTTGTCCACAGCCAATTGCCAATCTTCCAAAAGATATTATTGAAATGAAGGTGAAGGAAGGTAGCAAAATCCGAAATCTCATGGGATACGCCATTGGAAAGATGGAATCAGCCAATATCAGAGAGATCCTTTTTACTGGCACTGGGAAAGCTGTCAGCAAAGCAATCACCTGTGTGGAGATCATGAAGAGAAGATTAAAAGGTCTCCATCAAATTACCAAGTTGTTTTATAAACAGGTTGAGGAACTCTGGGAACCTATTGTTTCAGAGGCGGGCTTAGATAGCTTAACTGTGAAAAGAAACCTTCCTGCTATTTGTGTTCTGTTGTCTAAAGACATTCTGCCTACAAATGAGGCAGGCTACCAAGCTCCTGGGTCCTTCGATGCTTTGTGGATACATTCTTTAAAAGAGGAAGCACAGGCTCAAAGGAAAAAAAGACAAGGTGGAGATGGACTGGGTAAAGGGGGTAAACATCATGGATCTGGAAGAGGAGAAAGGCCCAAAAAATCCAGAAGCTGAGGGGGCGGGAGGAGAGAATACAAAAATCATTAGACAGATGCTGTTGATAACAGATAAAGCTGTATTTGTTTTTCAAATTAAAATTTTTGGAAATAGCTTCTGCTTTTTTGCCTGTTCCAATTTTATTCATTTCTTTTCTAAAAATGTTACATTCTTCTTTCTGATACCTTTGCTCAAATGGTCACTTTTTTTGTGTTAGATGTAGGCTTATAGCATTTTTTTTCTAATTGGTTAATCACATCCAAGTTAACCATCCCTAATTGCTTTTGAGAATCTGTAGTGAGACACCTTCTGGGCTATCCTTGTGGTGCACTGGTGAAGTGCAACATTTCCTTGGACACCTGGGCATCCCTGGCACAAGACCATCTGAAGTTGAGGAGCAGTATCCGGGAAGGTGTCAAGCACCTTGAGTCTTGCCATTGAGGGGGAAAAAAACGGAAGCCAGGTGAAAAACAGCAAAAGGAGGTGCTGCAACACCAATGCTCCAACCACCCTTTCTCGTGACCACTACCTGCCCCAAGTGTAACAGAGTCTGCGGTAGCCATATCGGTCTGTACAGGCACCCACAGACTCACCCTGAAAGTGGAAGAGAGTAATCCTCATCTGGGGGGACTGCCAATGAAAATGGTGCAGGTACCCCTACAGTTCTATATAAAGGAAGTTCCATGATTTTAGCAAATAATTAGAATATAGCTCCAAGTTGGAATGTTGTGTGACTTACAGGTGAACTTGTAGCTGGTGGTGTGCCCATGTACAGACTGCCTCTGTGCTTTATAGCAGTAAATCAAAGGTTTGATTGTTCAGTTGGATTTTCACAGTGGACTGTGATTTTTTTCTACCCCTGACAGCCAAACATGTGGACATTACAGCAAGACTGAATAGCAATCCAGAGTGCAAACTTTAACCCTTCTATTTGTCAGTTGGATTGGATTAAATTTATTGTCATGTGTATTACAAATACAGTGAAAAGTGGTTAGTGTCACCACTCTTTGGTGCCATCTTGAAACACAGAAAATAAAGCAAGACACAAAATATAATGCTCAAAAGTACAGCAATAGAGTTCATCTTGTTTCAGGCTCTAGGGTCTTTGGAATGGGCTTGGGGTCTCAAATATGATTATCGCTGCCAGTGCTCCTGCAACCGCCACATTCGAGCTAAGCCATGCTGCTGGCTCCTCCTCCCTGACACTGAGACTGCCATAACCAAGCCAGAGCTGGCCATGGGCCTGGGGCTAACCTTCTCTTCCATGCTGAGGTCACCAACACAAAGCAGTTCAGACAGCCCCGAGTCTCCGCTGCTCCTTCAGGCACTCGGTGGGCCCTGCAATGTGCTGCCCACCATGAATTCTGTGCCAGGCCCACCAACGTACCACCACTGCAGCTGCCACTCCACCACCATGAGTCCTGCACTGGTCCCACCCTATTGCTGCTACACTGCTGTGACTGAGCTCATCAAAAGAAGGCAAAAAGTTAAAAGAAAAAATTGAGAAAAAGTAAAAAGAAAAGCAAAGAGAAGAAAGGAGCAGATGAGCCCTGGGCTGAGGAGCCTGAATGCTGCCTACCCTGCCTCTGCCATCGTGGGAGGTTTGGGGCCTGGCTGAGATCATTGCAAGAGCCCTGTATTTTGAGCCATTTGTTCAGGACAAAAGTTGTTTTGCTGTCACTATTCTTGAATTTTTCTGAACTTTTATTAGTTGCCTTGATTGCAAAAGATTTGAAAGCCTGATATTATGAAATGTTACATGATGGGATGAGTCGCAGCTAAAACTTTGTTTCAAGTATTGATAGAACAATTGTCCCATTTTTTAACTGGAAAAGATAATAGCTATGAGCTACAATAGAAGTATTCACTTTCATATACAACAAAGCACTTCTTTGTAAAAGCTGGAGCCTTGCAAACAATATGTTCAAAATATCTTCCCACTCAAGATTGTGAGCTCATTCATTGGAATACTATTTTATCACAAGCTGCTTGATTTAAGATATTATGAAGAAACTGTTTTTGAGACTATCAGTGTTTTTGGATCAAGTTCTTAAAGCCGTGTGCCTTAATAATTATTTTAATAAGTACAAGTTTGCATCAAAGGATGTTTCAAATATCAGAGTCGATATTTTCACGTTTTCAATTGAGTTGCTGAATGTCGTTCTTTGATTATAAATAGAACTGCTCTTGCTCTTTCCTTACAGAATTAAACTAAGATTAGGGGAGGCAACATGAGCTGAGGACAATTCCATTTGTAACAAAACACATCTCGGCATGCTGATTTTAAGTGAAAACATCTGCAGAACATAAACCAAACATCTATTTTTGGTAGTTGTCAAGTTTTAAACATTTGTCAGGTTCGGTTGTGAATGGACAATGTCAGCTCATTGCAATTCTGTTAATAGCATGGCAATAATACAAAAGGGCAGTTTCAAAGATTTGAGTATCTTTTAGCTTAAATGTTGTCAGCTACTTGGACTGGGTGAAGTGTTTTGATGAATTGTGCCTCTTGTTTTTTTTACTAATGTCTGGAATTCGTTAACATCATCAATGCAGAATTGAGTTTTCAGTAAAGGTTTGTTTGTTCATAGATTCATTTATGGTGCTGGAAAAGGCCATTCAGGCCATTGAGTCTGATCTCGCTTCCTGTGCAGTCAGTCTCATTTATCTGCTCAATCCTGGTAACCCTGCAAGTTTATCATATATATTTTATACTATATGGATTACTAAAATCATGAAAATATGTCACTTTTAAAAATGTTTGTTTATAAAAGAGCCTTACTTTGAGTCAATTCTAATTATTTATCTTTACAAATTATTTTCATCCCTAACCATGTTGTCTAATACTTTAAGGATGTGTAATATTGCAATCTTCTTTAAACATAAATTTAAAGAACGATGTTACAAAGCTAATGTGTTCCATAAAATATTTAGAATAACTTGAGACTTTTATCAGTATTAGGTATGTCTTTCTTCCAGATGGCACTTATCAAATAGATCAAAAGTTGTCAGATTCAATCCCCTCACTCCCTTAATATCGCAGTAACATGCACATCTCCAGTTGATTTGTTTATTGGCAATGCTGGGAGCCGAACCGGTACAGTTATCTTCCTCTGAGACAGCAGCCCTATGGTCTGGCAAGACTGGTGACTTTACTCTCCAATGTTGCAATGAATACAAAGACTAAAAATTCAACAGCAGCTACTATATTATCCTGAAGGTGGCAGCACGTGAGCTGCAATCAGTTATTCCATATAGTAAAGATAAAGTTGTCATTGTCTTAACTCTGTCATTAGACAGAGATGACTGGTAAAGGTTTAACCCAAAAGGCACCCCACCCCAGGCAAGGGGAGAGGTTGTTAAGGAGAAACCTTCACGGTAATACCTGGTATAAGAATTAAACCCATGTTGTTGGTATCACTCTGCTCTGCAAACTAGCATTCCAGGCAACTGAACTAGCTGACTCACGAGCCAATATGATGCATAATACACAGGAACTGATTGAATGTAACAGGTATACAACATCTGAAAAACCAGGAATTTCCCACACAAGCAGGAATTTTCTGAGAAAATCTGAATATCAGTATATAATTGCAGGGTGATATTTCTAACCAATTTTTGTACAATTACCATGTACAATTGATATGGCAAACCTTTGAAATTCAGGTGAAAAATGTCTCTGCACTTCTCAACTTCTACTGCACAGGGCTATTTCAAGGCAGCCACAACTAACAGTTTGCAACTTCAACCAGGGACCAACACGGACTTAGTTTCCAGTTCACTAATGTACAGAATAGCAGCTCAGTAAAAATTCCTCAGTCAGGAGAGAAACAGAACCATGTCGTTTTCTATTGGATGCTGCCTGGACTGGAGAGCAGGCCTTATGAGGAAAGGTTGAGGGAGCTAGGGCCTTTTTCATTGGAGCGAAGGAGGATGAGAGGTGACTTGATAGAGGTGCACAAGATGATGTGGGGCATAGATAGAGTGGAAAGTCAGAGACTTTTTCCCAGGGTGGAAATGACTATTATGAGGGGGCATAATTTTAAGGTGATTGGAGGAAGGTATAGGAGAGATGTCAGAGGTAGGTTCTTCACACAGAGAGTGGTGGGTATGTCGAATGCACTGCCGGCAGTGGTAGTGAAGTCAGATACATTAGGGATATTTAAGCGACTCTTGGATAGGCACATGGAGGATAGTGAAATGTAGGATATGCAGGGTAGATTGATTCTTAGTAGGATAATAGGTTGGCACAATATCATGGGTCAAAGGGCCTGTACTGTGTTGTACTGTTCTATGTTCTATGTTCTATTGGGCTGATTTTCCCAAGACTCTCGGTGTAATAGATAGTAATTGCATTTCTTTGAGGGTAGCCACAGAACACTCATTCACTTGTGCAGACAGGAAGTGATATAACCTAAACAATGGTAGTATCATGTAAGTGAACTGCAACTTTCACCATTCAACTTAGCACTGGCTTTGTGGCCCCACTGAACAATGCATATTTAGTCCCGTAGAAGCTGCCAGAATTGTAAAGCCCTGAGAAATTTTTGTCTCAATGTCCAGGGAGTTGTAGATCATTTTCTGCGCTCCATTCTGTGCACTATTTCCTCCAGCTTAAGCTTCCACAGAGGTTTAGACAGTCAAGGAGGCATATTTGGCCTCAGGAGCCTGATGACCTAAACACAGAATTCACCAGTTTCAGAATCTCCCGACTCCCGGCTTCATCCCCGCCTCCTTGACCTGACACTACTTGTCCATCTCCTTCCCCAACTATCTATTCCATCCTTCCCACTGACCAATCCCCACTACCCCTACCTGCATCCACCTATTGCTATCCCACCTACCTTTCCCCAGCCCCACCCCTCTTCCCTCTATTTGTTTCCCACCTCCCTTCCTCACCCCACCCCCAAGTCCTGATGCAGGGTCTAGACCTGAAACGTCAACTCTGCTACTCCTCTGATGCTGCCTGACCTGCTGTGTTCCTACAGCTCCACACTCTGCAACATCACTGAATTACTTTGTCTAATCAGATAATCTGTGCACCATTGACAATGTTTTTATATCTTAAATTTCAGTGTCATTAAATTTTCAAAGCCCTCTGCTTTCAACTTTTG